CTACTGAGAGCTATGGGAATACTTGGCTCAATAGAGCTGTGACTCTCTGCCAGCCTGGCTACAGTGCTGAAAAGAAACCCGGGGTTGTTCCTATTTTCCTCTATCAATGACGAGTAGTGCGCTGCTGGCATTATGGAGGGCCTTCCTATAAGTTTTAAGACTATCTTGCCAAATTAATTAATTAATTTGCGAGTTTCAGTGTTATACCATGGAGCTAACCATCTTTGTTTTAGTATTTTCTTTTTTAGAGGGGCTACAGAATCGAGTGTCATTTGCAGTGAGCCTGCAGCACTATCAACAAGATGATCGATTTGGGAGGGACTAAAATTAGCACAGGAATCCTCCGTTACTTTGTGATCTGATAATTAATGTAGAGCTGATGGAATTGCATCCTTAAATTTAGCTACAGCACTATCAGACAGACATCTTGTATAAAAGATGTACCTGTGTATGTTTCAGGAGAAGGTCAGTTTCCCGCTCTGTTGGATCTGAGCAGCTTTAAGTCTGAGAAAAGAGCCTCTCTGCTGGCAAACAAAGGGTTTATGGTTCTGAATGTAGCAGTGTTCTCTGATAAGCCTGATAACATGAAAGAGATGGACCTGGACCACTTTAAAGAAGCAGTGGATTTCTTACTACAACATCCTAAGGTGAGTTTTTTGAGTAACTTTTAAGCCCAGTAGCATAAAGTCACAACCCTTTGATTCTCCTATTCCTCCTATTAATTAATTCTGTTTTCCAAAACTGGAAACAGGCTAAGCCTGGCCTATTCTGCAAAATAAATTGATTTAACAGTTTCATAGTGCATACTACTATGAAACGCAGTATGTAGTATACTGCGTCATGGTGGTATGTAGTAGGCATTTACGAATGTTTACGAATTGTCTGTCTGCTATATGAGCAAAGCTGCTGGGTCTGATAACATCCCCGTGTACTAAACACATGAGTCAGTAATGACATCAGCTAGCTTAAGGGATAGGATTCCCACCTGCTTCAAGACAGCCACCAGTGTCTAGTCTTAATTACTACCGCCTTGTGGCACTCACCCCCATTCTGATTAAGTGCTTTGAGAAACTGTTTCTCCAGCCCATACAGAACAACAGTTAGCACTGCACCATGTAAAATGGTTTTACTTCTGTCACTTGTTATTTATCCACTCATCTAGGGTATATCATTTTATGTTTGTATATAACATTTGCCATTTAGCCCAGTTCCTGAGCTCTGTGTGTTTATACAGACTACCTCTAATTTTCTTCCCAGGTGGGCAGTAAAGGAGTTGGTGTAATATCACGATCTAAGGGGGCAGATATTGCGCTTTCACTTGCTGCTTATGTACCAGGTGTTGTGGCCACAGTGTGGATCAGTGGCTGCAGCGCCAATGTGGCTGTTCCTCTTTACTACAGAAAACGCCAAATCCTCTCACCAGTAGTGTTTGACTTCAGCAAGTTGATTCCTGTTGAGTCAGGGGCCTTCATTATCAAGGATGGTGTTACAAATCCCCTGGCAGAGGAAAACAAGGGAAGCCTGATCCCCATTGAACAAGCCAAGGGACATTTCCTGTTTGTGGCTTCAGAGGACGACCTCAACTGGGACAGTAAAGGTTACATGGAGGAGATGGTGGAGAGACTGAAGCGTCATGGGAAGGACAACTTCGAGAGTGTGTGTTACCCGAGAGCTGGACACCTACTGGAGCCGCCTTATGGGCCCTACTGCCCCTCTAGTGTTCATGGGTTTGTACTCAAGCCAGTCATATGGGGGGGTGAGCCCAGCTCCCACGCAGCAGCTGAAGTCCACCTGTGGAAGAAGATCCAGGAGTTCTTCAGAACCCACCTGAGCTGTGATGCCACGCAGACTAAAGCCAAGTTATAGATGCAAATAGGTTAACATAAAAGAACAAGTAAGAAAATCATGAAATCAAGGCTGGCAGTTAACCTGATATAATTGTTTACGAAGCTGAATGTTTTGTAATTAAGTGAACAATTTAATAATTTGATTGTTCATGGAATATATCAAGTTGAAATGTTATGACCGATTACAACCTGTTTCAGGCTTACTAGACTGAACAAAATTATAAACGCAACTCTTGTTTTTGCCCTCATTCATCATGAGCTGAACTTAAAGATCTAAGACTTTCTCTGTGTACACAAATGGCCTATTTCTCTCAAATATTGTTCAGCAGGGTAGGAGAATATTGCGTGCTTTGAGTTAAATTCGGTGAAGTTTCGCTTACATGTTGTTTCTGTGTTGAGGAAGTGTATCACTTCAGTCTACACAGATATATAGAGTTGTGTCTGGCACAAAACAGTTGAGGAACCAAAAAAGAGTCAAAAGGCCTATGTAATATAAACTGGGTCCGAGTTAGGCCCGGCAGGAGTCAGGATATTAGAGAAATGTATGTGCATGTCAATATTGCTAAAAATAGAGTCTATAGGGGTGTGTTAACAAAAAGTGTATACAGATGTTAAAATCCTGTATGTAAATGTTAGAAAACTCATTACCAAGGCCTACAATAATAATACCAAGAGTTAATAAAATTTGTGTCTTGAATATAAAGTTTAATGATAATAGATGAATAGATATGGGGATATAAAAAGGTATAATAAGAAGGTAGAATGGATGGAAGTAGTAATAAAGTAATAAATATATGAATACATATTGATAAAATAGTTAATGTGGACTAGTATAGTGGAAAAGACATGTCTGATGTAGTCTCTGATTAAATTGTGAAATAGTTATGTGACAAATTAAGCTCTGAAGCGGCAGTCCACGGCTGAATAAGGGAGACTGGATGAGAAAAGAAAAAAAGGAGTTCGCTCACACTAACAGAGAGTGCAGCAATAAGTTAATAATAACAGAATTTATTAAAACTTCTTTAACTAATAAGGGCTGACAGTAAGCAGAATAGGTAAAGAATAGTCATGGCTGCTGGAAAAGAAAAATGTAGTTGAAACAGCCTACTAAAATATTATGATAAGAAAATTTAGTCCAGTATAACAGGCTGAAGACACTTTTTGGCTGGAGCAATCTTATAAAGATAAGCAGGGTGCAGAGCACTGGTGAGACGAGCAGGAAAAAAACTAAAATGATGATAACTGTAGATAACACTAATAGATACAGAGCAGATTAGAATTTGGGTCAACTAAAATGACAAAATGACAAGAAGACAGACCTTGTATATTCATATATAACCTATGCATACATGCATACTGTGTACATGTAAGATTCAGACTAAAGGCCTTATACTTTACTATAGATTAGTAGCAGGCAGTAGAAGGCATGGGGTATTGATAGCAAGAGTATCTGAGGTATCTGCACTGATGTCAGACACCATGCACATACGCTGAGGCAACATTCCACAACCACACTGTTGCCAGATAGAGAACTGCATGAGGCAGGTCGGCACTCATAGAAAGAATTAGAGGAATCAGCAATGAGTAGATGGCTACTGAGGACAGGAACATACACATAGCACATCAGGTGAGAAATACATTAACACATATACACACTAGGCTGCATTAGATAGAACAATACATACACACAAGACAGGATAGTGTTTAGGGCAAGTGATGATGAATTAGCAGGAATGATTTTAATGAATAGAAAAACACATACATGAATACTGCTTGCATTAAAACATGATTTTAAAGAACATTTGTAAATTAGGAAACATGGACAAGAGAATGAGTTAGATGTAGAAAGATGTAGAAATCAGCACAGCACCTAATATTTTAAGCCTGACGTAGGAGCTAGGATGCCACATACAAATAATATCTGTTAAAGTAGCTATAGCAGGGATTGGATTTAATTGGCCATTAATTTTGTTTTAGGTTAAAAAACATTCATCTAATGTAACTGTTTATTGTAATTTCTCAACTATTGGTTCACTGTCTCCTGAGTTAGTTATTAGTTTGTATAAACATTCCTTGAGAGTTTGCTTCAATAAAATAATTCCTTAGGACTAAAGATAAAGTAAGCTATTTTTTTGATTTATTGTTTCATTCTAGTTCCTTGGTTGTGTAGTTTAACGATTAACTGTCTTTTTACTTTTCGAGCTGTGAAGGCCTTTCAACTTTCTAAGGGTCCAAAAATGCAAGTGTTTGCTCGCAGTGAGTGCGATGGTTGTCCCGGGAGACACACAGCAAAGGAAATTAAGGGGCGAAGAGCACAAGAAAAGCACAGAAACGAGCAGTGATACAGGAGGCGCTCCACAAAGAGGCGTGCCAACCTGCTGCACCACAGGCCCAACCTCCACATCCACTGATCCTCCACTGATGTCAGCGTCTTTCTAGTGCACTAAAGTTGTACAGTTGACTCATAAAGAGGACAAATACCACCTAAAAGACTGTGAAACTGAAAAGGACAAAGATTAAAAGGTTAAGAAGGCTTCAGAGCAAAAATGAACTCCAGCCATAATGCTCTCACATGTGACCGAGTGCTGACAGATACTTCACCAGGGAAGTGCTCTTCTCGATCAACATTACAAATGGTCAGAATGTCAGGGGCCTTGAAAACTGCAACATATGCTGAAAAAGAACAGTTATGATTTTGGGAGTAGGAGCATTGATAATTTGTAGGAGAAGAAAAAAGAATAAGGGACTGATGTTAAATCCAAATTAAAGACTAGGTGATTCCAGAGTTTAAAACATAGGATATGTCATTAATAACTGATTAATTAGCACAGCTACACTGAGTTTATTGAGACTGAGACAATTGTGCCCGCATCGTTGTCGAATCCCATACAACCCTAGGAACGTAGTCCGTTGGGTGGGCGCCAGCACGCTCTTCTTTGCGTTGAGCCTCAGCCCTAAACGCCGCAGATGAGCCAGAACGACATCTCGATGCCGAACGCCAACTCTCGAGACTGGGCTAGGATGAGCCAGTCGTCGATGAAGTTGAAATCCGGATGCCCTGGAGCCTCAGCGGGGCACGTGCTGCATCCATACACTTGGTGAATGTGCGAGGGGAAGTGCCAGGCCGAATGGAAGAACCCGATACGGGTAAGCCACACCCCCGAAGGCAAACCTCAGGAACTTCCTGTGAGAAGGACGGATGGAGACCTGGAAATAGGCGTCCTTTAGCTCTATCGTGACGAACCAATCCTCAGATTGGATGTGCGTCATGATGGCGGGGATGATGAGCATCTTGAACCTGAATCTCCTCAGAGACCGGTTAGAACCCGCAGATCCAAAATAGGGCACGCAGCCCTCCGTCCTTCTTGGGGACTATGAAGTACCGGCTGTAGAACTGGCGTCTCTGTCTGGGGGGGAGACACGTTCCACGGCCCCTTTCCTCAGCAGAGTACGAACTTCCTGTCCCAACACCGGACCTTGCTCCGGGCAGACCACAGTCCAAACCACCCCCTCTCTTCTGTTGAATTTGGAGGGTGGGTTTTGAACTGTAGTCAATACCCATCTATGGCAGTGCGCAGGACCCACGGAGAAATGTTCGTCAGGCTCCGCCAAGCCTCTGCAAAGTCTGCCAACGGAACCAGCCCCTCGGGGCTGGTGGTCGGTGCCTCGTGTGACCCCTGAAGCCCCAGAACGGCAGGGGGGAGCCGCCGAAGATCCACGGTGAGTGAGTCGGGACACCGCCTGACTGCAGACCCTCGGGGCAGGCAGTACGGCATGGACTCGATGGTGGCAGGTGCGTCCTGAACGTGTAAACGGCGGGATAACATCACCTGTTGCCACGGGGGAGGGGACCTCGGTCGGCCTCCGGGGGGGTGGGGGGGGTGCGGGAGGGGAGAAAGATTCCCCTACCCCGGTCTTCCCTGAGCTCCGTCGGGACTGGATGACGGTCCTCAGATCGCGTCTCTCAGACGGCCGAGGGTGAGAGCGCCGTCTTGCTGCCCCAGCTCCTCGGGGGGCCCCAGAGAAGCGACACTCTGCTTCCTCTCCTCTCCGTAGGAGCTCGTAGAGGGAAGGGACCTACGCCTGGCAGCCTCAGCTGCCTTGGGTCCAGACCGGCGAGGGAGGTACTGGCGGAACGCTTCGCCCTGCGTCTAACGCTTCGTTATTCTGCGAAGCTCCGCCAGATCTTCCTCAGAGGGACCCCCCCTCTGAACCATCTCCTGTAGCAGGTCGGCTTGGTAGGCTTGAAGCACCGTGGTGTGCAAGCTTGCACCTGCCTGGCCCGCTGCCATGTACGCCTTCCCCAGGAGCGTGGATGTGGTGCGACGTGGTTTGGATGGTAACGCCGGCTTCTCCAGGGAGGACGCAAGTCGAGGGGAGAGATAGCTCGCAAGCGCATCCTCCACCCGAGGCATCCTCCCATAACCACGGTCCCTAACCCCCATCACATTACTGTAGTTCAATGATTGGGGTGTGGAAAGCCGTGTAGAGAAGGGTCTGCCCCATGATTCCTCAGTTCATCATGTAAATCAGGAAAGAATGGCAGAGACCGGCGTGGAGGTGGCGCATGGTGCTTAAGAAACCTTTCACCAAGCTTACCACTAGCCTGTGGTGTCTGCTCCTCCTGTGGCCAGTTGATGTTGAGCTTAGCCACGGCTCTAGTCACCACCTCCAGCAGCACGTCATAGTCGGGCGCCACCAAATGACGCCGCCCCGACACCCGGAAGTCATCGTCCACTGCGCTGAGCACGTCCGCCTCCTCAGAGTCGGATTGCTGCAGCGTCTCCGGATCCAAACCGCGAGCGGGAGAAGCCGAGAACGGGCTCCCGAACGAGGAAAGGAAGCGTCGGAGCCAGCGGATGAAGGTCGGGAAAAAGCCTCAGCCGTCCCGAAATCCTCCGACAGATCACGCTGTGAACCCATGAGTGAAGCCGCCGGGCCGCCTCAGCGGCCGCAGGGTCCGCACCACGGGGAAAACACATCCGGCCATCCTCAGAAAAGAGAGCCATGCTGTACCTCAGTACCCGCATGGAAAGGGCTTCGCAAGCCCCCTCGAGAGCTGCCCGTGCGTGCTCCATCCCCAAACATGAGACACACATCTCATGAGAATCTCCATCCGTGATGTACCGAGGGCAAGAAAAAAACACACCTTCTGTACATCTGGTTGCCGGACATGCTGGTAGACTTCTTCAGGTAAGACATACTGCTCGTAGGACTGGAGCTTTCTTCAAACAACATACAGAGCGCCTGCTGAATAGAAAAAAGCTAATGATGAGTGTGTACAGGTGTGCTTTATACTCCTCCGGTTATTCCGTCACACCTTACCGTTCTAGCAACAGGCCAATAGGATTGGAGTGATTTCATTCACGTTCAGACCTGCTTCGCCTAGAGGCATTCCCATAGTGTCGTAACCGACGCAGTTCGAGTTCCCTCGAAGGGGAACTTTAGTGCACTAATGGATAATGGAGTGTTATTTTAAGATTTACTATTTTGTACGTCCAATGGCAATGTTCATTCAATGCACAGATATACCGGGGGACACAGGGTTAGAAGGGTGAAATCACAAGCAAATAGAAAGGAAAATCTAAGTTTCCACCCTACAAACAGTAGGATAAAGCTCACTTATTGGTAATAGTGAGAAACAGTTGCAAGCAAGTTAAATAATTCTTCACAGCCAGTGCAACACCAGAGGAGGCCACTCCACTATGGTGCCTCGTGAGACAACACAGCGCAAACGCAGCAGCAGGCGAGATCGAGCACGGCCTTCACTACCACCAGCTATGAGTTCAAGTGAACCAGCTAGAAGAAGAATAGGACTCACTCTACACACGACTGAGCGCCCTCAAATTGGTACCCAGCCTGTTCCCCAGGAAATCTGAACCAAAATAAGTTTCACTGTACCACGGGCAAAACCACTACGCATGATAATTGATCATTTCACAGCGTGTAAACAATAATTTGTGTATTTTCTTGCAGGTCTACAGGCTGTGAAATAGGCTCCATGTTGCCAAGTGTACTCCAGATTGTACTTATTTACGCATGTTGAACTTGTACAGTCAGTGCACTATTGTAGGTCAACGACTTGTCAGCAGATGATGTCTCCTGATAATGGCCTGAAAGGGTGAATGTGTTAGAATGTGACTAAGAAGTCACAGAGATGGGAATGTAGAAGGAATTTAGAAGCAAATTTGTGTGAAAACTGTTCTACAAAACATACACCAATATAATAGACAGCTGAAATTAAGATCACAGTGTTAAACCTCTATAGCCCTGTGTGTGTGTGTGTGTGTGTGTGTGTGTGTGTGTGTGCTCCTCTCTGTATCTGACTGCATGGGCTCAACAGAAGGACCTCATGTGTGCTGTTGGGCAGAGGTAGAGGAGGACACACAGCAGAGTGAGAGAGCACAGAAAGACTGCCCTGTCTCTAGCACATAGCACAAAAGACACCAGCTCATTCCACAAAGTCAGGTTATGGCTGTATGGGGGTATTTATGTTTCAATATTATTTGTGTGAACAGATGAGCGATCTGTGTGTAAATGTGTTATCTGTAAATATAAAACACTTTGCACAAACACAAACCTGTCTCTAGCACATAGCACAAAAGACACCAGCTCATTCCACAAAGTCAGGTTATGGTTGAGATATTATGATCAGCAGTAAGCATGCCAAGGCCACAGAGAGGGGGGGCAGTGTAGCCTGGCCAAGAATGCAGCAATCATAGTGAAATAAAAGTGATAATCCACCAACGTTTGTACTCTGGTGTCTATTATTGTTGAAAATAAACATGTTGGTAAAAGTTCAAGCTTTTTTATCGACTTAAGTCCAAGCTGGGACCACACGGCTGCTATCCAGGCTCTCTGCTCTACTCTGGGATGATCACAGCACCTGCGTGGTGCCTGGGCAGTAATACTATATCAGCATAGGTCCTGTCCAGTTCAAAGTCAAATTCAATGAGCTGGTCCATACTGGGGTGTTGTGCTGGTAGCAGCTGAACGGAAACGGATGCAGCTCTGGTTTAGAAGGAATGGAAGAAGAAAAGTATTGTGAGGAATGTAAAAATAGTCCTTTAAAATATTCTCGCCGTGACCCTTCAGAGACAGAACTCAAATTGACTAATGACAAGGTA